CAAGTGTTTCGCCGTCATGTGGGCTTTGGCTACAGTTGAGTCTGACGTGGAACCGGGAGGCAGATGCTCAGGCCCACCTTCACCTCTCCCATGCCAACCTCGTGGTCTCCTGCCTGCCACCACCCTGGACATGTCACTGTGGGATTCCTGGACAAGCCAAACACGTGTGAGGCTATGGAGTGAGTGCACTGTAGCTGAGACGTCCGTGACACAGGGGTCCGGAGACCACCGCTCTTGAGTCAGCCCCACTGCCGCTGCTGTGTGACTCCAGGTAAGAACCGCAACACCTGTGAGCCTCAGGAGCAGAGCAGAAATGAGGAGTTCAATGAAAAGATCTTTAGAGGCTCTTTCCAGTTCCAATATTCTCTTATTCTGTGAAATTGAAACTATCACATCCATAAGCAGAAAGGCGGCTTTCTTCTGCCCCCTGAACTAAAGAATTTCCCGTAAGTCATGGAGTCCAAACCTATTGGCAGCAGTTTTTCCATGAGCAAGACAGTCTTTAGGGGCTGTCCATCAGAGGTTTGGAGACTTTTTTGAAATGAGTTTGATATCAGACCTCAGCACACACAACAGCAGCAGCAGCAACAAAAGTCTCCCCCAAATATGCAGACCCCTACCGTGTGTTCAGACGCTGATCCACTTTATTCTGTGTTATTCTATCCCTCCTATCTGATCTGAATAAAAACGCTGGCACCAATCCACTGGATTGGTGACTTCCAAACCTGTGGTTTGAAGAATGCTGCTGCGGAGGTCACAGGAAAGGGGCAAGTGCCTCATGGACTGTGAAACCAGCAGGACAGCAAGGGCCATGCGGGGGTCAGACTCGGGGGGCGAGGCGTGGAGCTGCATCCTTTGGCCAGGCCTTGACTCCACCTCCCGCCCAGCGCCAGGCACAGCCACATCTTCTGTCTCTGTTCAGGCTGTCCCTCAGCCGGAAGGTCCTCCCACCTGCCCCCAGGAAGCCTCTCCCAGGCTGACCAGGCCCCTTCTCCATGGCCCTCTGTTCGCTGCACTCGGGCCTGTCTGCTCTGCTGCAGTAGCTTGTTGACCAGTCACTGGTACAGTTTCTGAGCTGGACTATGGTTCCTACAGGCCAGGGCTGAGCCTTCTATTGCTAGGAAGCCTGGTGCCCCATACCCTGCCTGGCACCCTACATGCTCCTGGCCATAAGCAGACGGGGGAGGTTGTGGGGAAGCCAGTGAGTGAGTGGGACACTCCAGCCAGGTGGTCGGGGGCTGCCGGCTGCACCCCTGTCGAGGCACACAAGCCCTTCACTTTCAGACAGCTCTCCCCTGGAGTTACCCTGAGGGATAATAGGTCTATTCGTCTGGGGCTGCTGTGTTCACAAGGCCTCAAAAACAGAAAACTGTCACTGGCAGACATATCAGGCAGTATTTGATGGTTGTTTCAAGCACAAAATTAATTATTTTAAGAGCAAAAGAATGACAAATCCTGCAGAGCATCTTCTTAACAGTCCTACTAGGTTTGGTTTTTACTCTGTGATTTGTGGGTGCCACAAAGACTATTCTAAGAGTTGTATCCACTCCCTTCTCCAAAGGCACTAGACCTCCCAAGTCCTTTGATGGGAAGATCACCAATAACGCCACCTGCTGTACCTTCTGAAGACCGTGACCTCCATTGCCCCCATGCCCCAGGGTCTCCCCGCTCCTGGGGTGCCTCCAATATCTCCAACCTGGGAGACCTGGAAGGGATCCAGGCAGCCCTGGGGTCTCCTACACTCAACAGTAGCTCCAGGGATCTGCTGTGGCTGAGCTGCGTGCTGGTGGCCAGGCCAGAGGGCAGCCCCTGCAGTGAGACGATCAGACCAGGCAGGAGGGCAGGAAAAGCATCGGGCAGAGCAGGCTGGAGAGATTCCTGAACACACTGGCAGAGTCCTGGGCCCTGAGAGGAGCTTGGGCTCAGGACTCGGTCTGTAGAAAGACCCCTGCCCTGTCAGCACTTGCACCGTCCCCGGAGGCCTACACGCCATGCTGGGCCAAGCAGGGGTGGCCTGCACGGCCTGCTGGGAGCAGGGCTCAAAGGCCCCACTGGCATTCCGACAGAGCACCAGCCTCCCAGGGACCGCCACCACAGCAAGAGATGCCACACAACGCAGACTTGAGTTTGGGGCCTCTTCCTTCTCTACACCCAGAGATGCGGAAGCATAAATCTCTCATATTCCTGGGAGAAAATTACCCCCTACCTACCTCGGGTGCCCAGGAGCCCCATCAGACGTGGCTTTCTCTCTCACACATGCCTGGAAGTGCCTGGATTAAATTTCAGCAGAAAAACCACGTGGGCTCTGACGTTTCGGTTTCAGTGGACAGTGGTGCTGGGAGCTCGTGTCTTTCCCCAAAGAAAATATAATCACAGAAACAGCCTGGAGAATACTGCCAATACTTTACACAAATCCTTTCACCATAATTAGACACATGCACATCTACGATGGGGATACCCAGAAACAGATTCGAAGCCAACTGCTCTGTTCCCAGAGTTAGCACAGTCTGTTCAGTTGAAGCCATGGCAGGGCCCGGGCACAGGGAGAGGCCCCCGGCCCCCATGCCTGGCCCCCGGCCCGAGCAGCACTGTTGGTGTGGATCACCCAGGTTCATTCACTTCTGAGGAGCAGGATTTGAACAACCATTGTCTCTGCTCTTTTGCTGGAAATGGTAACTGTGAACGCTTTGCGCCTTGCTGTAAATTAGGAAAAATTCAACTGGGAATACAGAAGGGAAAAATTGTTAGCAGGTGGTTTTTCAGACCAGTGCTATTATCGTTTGCTTGAGAGGTGAGAAGTGAAAGCACACATAACGTTTGGAAGGACCACGTGCTTCTCTGCTGTGGCTTGCTGAACCTCCTGCTCAGGTGCAGTGGGGACTGCCCCCCAGGTGGCCCTTGGTCTGAGCCCAGCCCTACGCATGGCTGCTGCCTGGAGGCTGGAGGAGGACACTAAGGTGCCTGTCTGCTGCTTTCCACCCAGGCAGGGCTTCCCTTAAAGTGCCCTTCACCAACAGGGGCCCTTTGGGTGTCCCCCAGAATCAACCGCCCTTGCTGACATAGGCCAGTGGTCAGCAGAGTGCGAGCCTCGAGTGAAAGTGGAGCACCGCGGAGCCCCGAACGGGCAGGTTGCAGGAGGGCCTTCCTCGGCTGCGTGCTTAGTGGGGCAGGTGAGCAATGCCACCCTCGATGCAGGTTCCCACGAGCCCAGCTCCGTACCTCAGAAACCCACACGAGGACAGTCACGCTGAAGCCAGCCTGATCTGCTCCACAAACTAGAGAGAGGGAGCTTCTGGGCAAAGAACTAGAAATGATTACTGAACTACTATGGCTCCTCTCTTTCCAAGTCTGGTTTTCTCTCAGCAGCTGGGAAGGCCCGCAGATCTCATGTGCCAGCAAGGATGTCCAAGTGACAGGGTGGTCCTCGACCCCCTTCTCCCCCCTGTGAGACCAGCCATGCCTCATACCAAGGGTTGCAAGGTGGAAGGGAACAGATTCAAGACTGAACCGATTTTCAAACAGACATGAACACGCAGTGCAGAGCAGCCACTCCACTTCCTGCTGAGTGCCGTGTTCATCGCACACAGATGTGAGCTCCGCTGGGTCAACGGTGCAGCTGCAGCACATGACTGAGCCTCTTCCCCACCGGCCAGCATGGCAACACCCGTCACTCTGGACAGACAAAGCAGCAGGTGCTGAGGCCTGGGCGCTGACCTGTGAGAGTGGAGGCCCCACCCGTCTCTGCAGGGCACCCAGGCCCTGCTGGGGACAGGCGGTGAGCAGGGCTCTGGGCAGAGGGCCTGGTGTACCAGTGCTGGCTCTGGTGATGTCCCCAAGGGAGAGGGAAAGGCTATCCTTGCCCCAGACACACCATCTAGCCTCCCTGGTGCTCATCCAAACTCTGGCTAATAGGCCCTAATCCAAAGACTGATCTTATATGGAAAGGTCTTTAAAAAGTCACAGAATGTGGTAAAGCCAGGAGAACATGATCACTAAGTCGCTGGTGCAGCAAGACCGATAAACAGAGTCATTCCCTCCCAATACCTAGAGATGCTGCCCAGAACGGCCACAGGCCGTGCGTGCCATGAGCACTGGAGAACTGCTCCCCGGATTTCACACGGGCTTTCAAAGAAGTAACGTGAAGGAAAAAGGAGTTAAATATCTCATCAATAATTTTTTATGTAGATTGCACGTTGAAACGATATTATTTTGGATATTGGGTTTAACAGAATGTGCCAGAAAACAAATCTCTCCTTTAACTTTTATTTTAAAATTAATTTTACTTTTTAAAAACGTGGCTACTAGAAAATGTTAAATTAGGTTGTGGCTTGCATTACATTTCTATTGGACGGCACTGGTTTAGAAATGTGGATTCTAATCCTGGCTAATGCAATGTCTAGGTGGCAGCTGGGGCAAGGCCATTGGACTCAGAGTTTCTTTTATGAACTCAGCCCAACTCAGCCAAAAAGACAGCTGAAAATGCTATCTACACCAAATGTCAGGATGGCATCCTCCTGTCATTTCCCATTTCTCCTAAGAAAACAGGCCTGTCCCATATGGTAGAACAGGCTGTGGGCTCATAAGGGTGACACATTGAAGAGGGGGTGCAGCTCACACTGCACATGTAGATTTGTGTATTTATTACTGCGATATCCTGGCGTGTAGCAATAAGTATCATGTTCTAACAAAACGAACATATTACAATGATTTTCCCAACAGACAGAACTAAGGCGTCCTGAGGAGGGATCCCTTCTTCTGATGAAAACTGTCGCTGGGCTTGCATCGGCCATGCCAGAACCCTGAGGCCCACCTGACTCCACTCCAATCAGATGCTTTGCTGGTTTGGCCTCCATCTCTGCATGTGCTTGGTGCATCTACGAGCAAGAACTAGGTGCGCACACTCAAGCCTCAGTTGTTCAAAACGCCATTAGCATCTGGTGCCAAAGGGACAATAACCAGCTGGACGGGGGCCCAGGGCTCGCCCAGGATGGGCCACTTACCTTTTCGTTTTTCTTCTCGTCTGGCTTGCATCCTGTGTTGGTGGGGCTGGATGTGGACAGGCCACCACTGGGCCCTCCTCCGGCGTCCCCGTTGAGGTTGGCGGCACTAACATTGGGAGGCGTGATGGCTGATGCTGCTGATGTGAGCGGGATGGCTGGCCGGGGGCCCAACTGCAGCGGGGGCTGTTGAACGTGCTGGGGGGACACCACGGAGTGGGGCCTGAGGCTGGTGGCGGGCAGGCGGGACGGAGAGTTCTGAGTGTGCAGGGGCGACACGGTAGCAGTTGGTCGGTCCTGAGCCTGGGCTAAGGGGTGGGTGGCTGGACACAAGGTTGGAGAGAGAGCAGGTTGAAAGGTTAGTTTGCAACCTGCCAGGCATCTACAGCACACACTCCTCTCTGGCTGATCCTCTGAGTGCTCCCCACCTCTCTTTCTCCTGGCCTCTGGCACAAAGCCCCCACATCACAGGCGGGCACAATGAGGCTACACCACCTTGAAAATGCATTCCCATCTTTTCAAAGCCCAAGTGATCAGGGCCCTGCCACCACTCAAACAGCCCTTGCCGAGGGAGGAGCTAAACTAGCTTCCCCAAGGCTGCTGTGAGCGTGGGCGTGTTCCCGGTCTCTGTGAAGTCTTCCAACTGGTCTTCTCTGCTGTGATGAACCAATACCCTCAGCAGACTTTTTAAAGCACCTGGTGAAAATGCTCATAAACGCAAAGCCTGTGAAAGCATCTTGGAGAAGCCTTAAGATGCCCCGAATAATTAAGCACTGCTGCATGCCAGCTGGTCATGGTCGACAGCTTGACTCCGGTTAGTCCTGACCCTGGAACAGCCTGGCCCAGTCCTTGGCTTCCACACCAAGCACGTGGCCTTGCTGAGCCAGGCTGAGGGTGTGTGAGCCTGCTCTGGCTGGTGATGACACTGCAGGAGGTGACAATCGCAGGAGGAAAGCAGTGGAGGCCAGCCCGTCCCCACCCCTGCTGCGATCTGCCTGACAGCGTTGCCTCGCCACAGGTGGAAGCACAGGAGTTTTGGATTTATAAAATGGGAGCCTCAAAACTATGGATACACACCCCCTTCCTTGCAGCAAAAACGCTTCTTAAAAAGGTTAGGGATCTAAATGCATAACATTTGTGAGACTCTCCCATTTGAAAAGACAGAGTTCCCTCTAAACACAGCACCATATTAAGATTAATCATGCAACTATTTGGGTTAGTAATTTTGAAGAATTTTCTCCTTGCCAAACATGGAAGAACACATGGGGGGAGAAAATGAAAGTGACAGGGGCAGGTGACTAGTGCCTTGGCTGGTCTGACCCAAGTGGAGAGACCAGGCTGGGGACCAGACTCACAGCAAGTGTCTCAGCCAGCACCACATAACTCAGAGCCAGTTGTCTGCACATTGTTATGCCAGAGAAAATCACATGTCACACTGTAATTATTTTGTACCACCAGAATTTGTGGCATTCACAGCTTTAGAACATGAAAGAAATACACACAACATTAATGATATTCTCAGCCCCCAAATACGCCTTGAATTTGTAATGCACTCAGAGGTCCCAGACAGCGCTTGCAGGTGTGGGAAGGCAGGTCACACCATAAGCCAAAGCCCCTCTGTGAGTGCGCCCTTCCTCCTGACGGCTGCGGGGAGGAGCTTGCGAGATCAGCTATGCCATCATGGACTCTGGCACCTGGGACAGCCTGCTGTTTCCACCAGGTGAAATGTAGAAAGGTTGACTTATGTCTTTCTAAAGAAACTACTCAGGATTTCAGATGGGTGGGGAACCTAGAGCATTTGAGTCCTCTCATCCTGTGGCTCTGCGTTTAAAAGGAAGAGCAGGTCAGGCCATTATGCCCATCGATGGAGCTACTGGGCTCTTCTAACTACCGATTCATCGGCCCCTTCCTGTCTGAACCCTCCCTGACCCCTGCCAGCAGCCTGGGATGGGAGGGGATGGCCCAGGGCCTCAGAAACTCAGTCTCCAGGGCTGCTCCAGGGTGTCCTGCTCAAGGGCCCTCCACTTTCTGGCTAGCTTGCATGCGTCCGCCACATCACCTTGCTTAACCAGATGAGAAAGGAGAGAGTTCCAGAAAGTTCTAAGCCTGCCCCCATGCCATCTCCTAATACACTCGCTTCAGCCACTCTGGCCTCCCGCACACAGGACAGGCCCTCTCTCCCCTCAGAAACTTGGTGCCAGCTGTCCCTGTGCACAGACCATACTCCCACCAGGACAGCTGCCAAGGCAGGACCCCTTGGGGGGCTTCGACTCAGCTCAGCTGTTTATTATATGTTAATTGTTTACTGTCTGTATCCCCCGCTACAGTTTAAGCTCCAGGAGGGTGGGACACCAGCAGTTTAATTCACAATATGATTCCTTCCAAGCCCCTGGAATAATGCCTAATGTAGGAGATGTTCAATGCACTTTGTGCATGAACGGGTGAGTCTTTGAGACAAGGGAGCCCCAGCTGAAACACCACTATAGACTTCTCAGAACTGAACGGCTGAGAAAACAAATGCTCCCTGAGAGGCTGGCTCACCCTGCAGGCTGGCAGGACAACTCTGGAACCTGGGATCTTCAGTGGGATCCACCCTTTGTTCCCCTACCTGGAGCTGGCCCACAGTACTGTCCATCCACTAGTGAGCCTACTAGTGACCGATGCTGGGGCCACGTGTGCCTTCTCTGAAGAGTCCCACGACGGGTGGGGCTGTGTGAGAACTGCGGTAACACACAGTAACTGCGGTAGTCCTGTAACAACCCTGACGCAGGAACGCTGCACGCTCTGGATCCCACTTGCCCTCACGCAGTTCACTGCAGTGTCCCCGGTACCTAGAATCGTGCCTGGCATCCAGTAGGTGCTTTGTAAAAGTAGCTGAATGAATAAATAACTTTATCATCAGCTTTGTTCTCTCCCTATTTTCAGTTATCACTTCACATTCCAGGGTGAAATGCAGCACTGGTTGCGACTCCCGCGGCTCCAGCCCAACCTCTCAACTTATCCGCGTCCCTCCCTCCAGTCCCGAGCACAGTCTCTTGGCTCCTCTTCTTTCCTCCTGTATTTAACCGCTTGATTAGCTTTCCACTGTAATTTATTAACCAAGTCTCTCCCATTGAAGAAATAACCCTCCTTCTATACTTTGTCTTCTTTTAACTAGTACCTCCTTTCCTCACTTTTCTTTGTACCTAATATTCTTGAAATACTGTCTACACCGGCTCTTAAGTAATCTGTACTTGCTCTCTGGCAGCTTGCACAGTATTTTTGTATCTTTTGATGCATGAAGTTTAAGTGCAGCGTGTTCAGGTTTGGATTTATGGCTATTTCTTCTACTCAGCACTGTCTGTGCCTTCTGTGTGAGGACTTGAGCCCTTCTTCACTTCTGGAGAATTCTAAGTGATTATTCCTTTGAATCGTCTCTCTCTCATCCCCTCTATGTTCTATTTCCCAAAGTCCTGTTAGAAGTAGTCTGAAGGGCCGGCCCAGTGGCGCACTGCTACAGTGCGCCGCTTGGGGGCGCAGCGGCGCTCCCACCGAGGGTTCGGATCCCACGTACAGACCGCCGCTCACTGGCTGAGCGAGGTGCGGACGCAGCGCCGAGGGTTGCGATCCCGTTGCCGGTCCCGGTCCGGTGCGGGCGTGACACTGAGGGTTGCGATCCGTTGCCGGTCACAAAAAAAGACAAAAAGGAAAAAAAAAAAAGTAGTAGTCTGAAGCTCCTCAGTCTATCCTCCACGTTTACACTCTCTCTCATATTTTTCATCTCTGTGTTTTAGATAAACTCCTTTGCATGGCTTTCCAATTTCACTAATTCCATCTTCAACCATGTCCAGTCTAGAGTTTATGCTACCTAAAGAGGCTTTGAATTTAAACATTTTTTCTTTCCAAAGTTTAAAATTGGTTCTTCTTTATATCCAGCTGTTTCTGACTCACAGCCGTCCACTAGTTTTTTTCATAACATCCTGTTTTTTCTTTCTTTTGTATGTGTGGGGGGGTGTTAGTCCTTCTTTTTTTGCTCTTAGAAGCTCTTAAACATACTAATTTCAAAGCCTTTTTCAGATTTCTCCTTATTTCCCTCCCACTTCTTGAGTTTACTGGCTATCTCTCATGCACAAGTTTCCCTCCTGTGTTCTGAACTCGTAGTGAGCTGAGAGTTGCATTGCTGTTGTTTGCTCTCTGTGTCAACCCCTCAGGGTCTGGACGTTCTGTTGTTTCTTCACCTTGGCCTCTGGAACCGCCCTCAGAGCCAGGTGCAATGGGCTGGCTGAGCTCTGGTCCTGCAGGGACAGCACAGAGCTAGTCCTCAGGCCCGAGCCAAGCTCAGTTCTGCGCCCAGGGTTGGGGCTTTCTCTTCTCTCCCATGCTCCAGACAGCAGTTCAGTATTGACCATGCCCTGGAAGACGCTGCAGCCATTAGACCTGCTACACCTGGCTCTGGCCCCCTGACCTCAGGGGGCTTCCTGTCCACACGGGAGCTGAAAGTCCACCAACACTGCCTGCTTTTCACCCTGCAGCCCAGTAGGCCAGAGCTTCAAATCTGCTTGCCATCATGTGTTCTATTTTGTTTAGATATATAGAGTCGACTTTTTAAAATATTGAAACAAACCTCACTGTATTTAGAACAATATGGTGGGGGAGGGCGGTTCCACATACTCTTCCTTATTGTCCAAGAGTCCTTCATTCACTTCTCAGTCTACTGAAACCTAGCTTTTCACCCCATCATTACATCAAATATTATCTGGACAAGATCAGCTATGGTTCCACATGTCACCAAATTTAATGGACACTTTCCTGTCATGAGAAAACGTGTGCACTGATGTGGTTGTCTTTACAGTGGCATCACACTGACTTGATCACTGCAGCTTTATAGGCAGTCTTGAGATCAGGGTCTGCCTCCCACTCTGCTCTCGGTCAAGGTTGCGTTTGGCTATTCTCGGTCCTTGCATGCCTATATGAATGTGAGAACCGAATTGTCAATTTCTACAAAAAGGTTGGGTTGGATCTTGATTGACATTCCATTGAATCTATGGGTCAAATTTTGGAGAATAAACATCTAACAATGTTAAAGTCTTTTCACCCACAAAGTACATCTCTCTACTTATTTAGGTCTTAATTTCTCTTAGCAATGTTTTGTTTTCAGTGAGCAGGTCTTCCCCATATTTTGTCAGATTTATCCCCAATAAATTTCTATTTTTTGATGCTATTAAATTTGGTATAGTTTTTTATTTTATTTTTTTTCCATTATCTTTTTAAAAAATTTTTTTATTTTTATTATTTATTTATTTATTTATTTTTCCTAATTTTATTTTGTTGATATACAATGAGG